GAATCCACCCTAACATTTTTGCCCTTATTTCACTTGAATCAAGATGCAAAATCTTGCTCTTCCTCTTCCCCTTTTCTTTCTCCTTCTAAAAAATTCAATTCTAACACCATTAGGTAGGTCAGAACAAGGGAGGCATCCACATAGAGGGTCACAAGATGTGACATATTAGAGCCTAAGCAGAATGACAAGGGATTCATACACGGTGCAGTGGATATGAGAAAACAGCCTACGCAGGGTTAGGACAGTGTCTGCATAGGGGTATGGCCTTGAATAGAAAGTTAGAGCCCCTTTGGAGAAAGTGAGCCATCCATGCATGAGGTCAGGCTTGAGTTTTCAGAGACAACAGGATGAAGGGTTTCCCATACCCAGACAGCTCAGTATGTGGTATCTGAGCCCAAGTATGTGGAAGAGAGCATCATCATGGGGTGGGAGTAAGAAGCCTGGCATAGAGTATCAGAGACTGAGCAGGTAAAGACTGCATCCACAGAGGGGTGGTTTGGCACTGGTTGTTGGAGCCCAAGCAGAATGAGGAAAGGGTTCACATATAGGAGTGCCCTGACAAAGAGGTATTAAAACCTACACAGGTAAGGGGGCAGCCATGTTTAGGGACAATTTTACATGAGGTGTCAGAGTCCAAACTAGGTGAGGAAAGCTTTAATGTAGGTGAGGTGGCCTGCATGGGAGGGGTCAGAACTCTAGTAGAGTAAGGAGGGAATCTACACACTGGAAAAACCCAAAGCTGGGTTACGCAGTCTGAGCCAGGTAGGAGGGGATCCAAGTGGAGGATCAGCCTATAAGTTGCCAAATTAAATACAGGATGCCCAGTTAAATTTGAAATTCAGTGTAAACAAAAAAAAATATTTTTAGTATATGTATCTTCCAAATACTTACCCAAGAATTTCTTTGTTGTTTTCTGCAATTTGAATTCAACTAGGCATCCTACATATTTTTAAAAATTTTTATTTAAATTTCAGTTAGGGGCACCTGGGTGGCTCAGTTGGTCAAGCATCCAACTTCGGCTCAGTGAGTTCAAGCCCCACATCAGGCTCTGTGCTGACAGAGCCTGGAACCTGCATCAGATTCTGTGTCTCCCTCTCTCTCTGCCCCTCCTCTGCTCGTGCTTTATCTCACTCTGTCTCTCAGAAATAAATAAACAACAACAACAAAAAATTTTAATTTCAGTTAGTTAACAGTGTAATATTAGTTTCAGGTGTACAATATAGTGATTCCACGCTTCCATACAACCCCCAGTGCTCACCAAAGTGCCCTCCTTAATCCCCATCACCTATTTCACCCATCACCTCATCCACCTCCCTTCTGGTAGCCATCAATTTGTTTTCTATAATTAAGTGTCTGTTTCTTGCTTTGCCTCTCTCTTTTTTTCCCCTTTGCTCATTTGTTTTGTTTCTTAAATTCCACATATGAGAGAAGTCATATGGTATTTTTCTTTCTCTGACTGACTTATTTCACTTAGCATAATACTCTGGAACTCCATTCATGGCATTGCAAATGGCAACATCCTATATTTATATTTGCTAAATGTGGCAACTCTACCAGCCTGGTGTAGGGTGTAAGAGTGCAAGCAGGGTGAGGAGGGCACCCATGTAGAAGAGAGGGGAGAAGGAATAACAAGGACTGGAGATATACTGAGGGGATTGATCAAATATACAAATAGGTTAAGGATAATGGGCACCAGTTTTCTCACTGTCAGAGGATGGAGTATAAATATGTAAAGGAAGAAAACAAGCATGAGTCTTGTGATGACTTGGAACTAGAGGTATTTGAACTTAAGGATTTCAATAAATATAAATAATCATAGTTGTAAATATTTGTATATGTATGTACCTACATGCATATATTCCCTAGCTCTGGGATGGCTTTGGAGCAATGGCTTCCCACCCCCAAAGGAATGAGCACAGCTAGCACCCAGATCTTGGTTTCCAAATTCAGGCCTTCACTAAAAAAAACCAGGGCTCACTGGAGAAAGGTTCCAAGGCTGAGGCAGGGAAAATATAAGATAAACCCAGACCATCTTTTTATACTCGTAAACAAAGAAGTAAGTGCTCAAAGAGTGACAGGGACATATAGGAAAACAGACACACAAGGACACAGAATCCACTTTAAAGGGCTCTCTGTGGTCAAATCTGGGATGATTGGAGTACTGAAGTAATAATAGTAATTGATTAGAACTCATGGGATACAACAGGAAACTATGATTCATACTAATATAAATTAATAAACGAATAAATTAGAAGTTTGACGAGGAACAATGTATTAATAGTTCCAAAGTAACTCCCCATAAAAGTACTTAATTACTAATGGGAAAATAATTTTACAACAGAGCAGTTTGGCAGACACCACCCTAGTAAAGTGACCAATGTGAACATCATCAGCAATG